AGAACTGGCTGTAAGCACAGAAAGAACAGTGATGTGGTTGCTCAAAGGAAGGAGGCCAAGAAAGTCTTGTGAAAAATCTCACTAGCACTAAGGCTTAATATACTAGCATTAATAATTGCAGCAAATCATTCGGGTTAAATTACGAGCCTTTGGCCCTTTTATTTCAAATGTATTGCATCCTGTTTTACTGACAAGAAGTATTGGAAAGCTTTTCTCTGGAGTAGGCAAAATGGTGGCCAAGAAATGAAACTGGTAAGGAAGACATTAAGAGAAGTGAAAATTGACTACCCATTTTGTATCTTTGCTTCTGGTCAAACGTGTGCGATAGTTCTAATGAAAGGCTTTTTTTTTTTTTCTTCTTCTTTTTTTAAATGACTTTCCTCAGTTTTAAAATGTCCCGTGTCATGCACGCAAATTGGCCTTGCAATGTCCCATGTCATGCACACAAATTGGCCTTGCCAGCAACAGACTTTAAAAAAAAGGAATTCTTGTGCCAAAGCTGCCTTAACCAGCTTAGTCAAGACTAAGAATAGCAAGCAGCCTTGCTTCTCAGCAGTCTCTTTCTCTTATGCTTCTTCTCAAAAGAGGCCTAATTTCACTCCTAACCCTGAATGAGCACTGATTGCTCCCTGGGAAGTTTGACAAAGATGCTCATCCTATTAATTTCAAAAGAACCACAATTTCAAGTCTTAATAATTTGTTTCCTAATCATAGTTATGTTATAAAGTCTGCTTATTCCATAGGAAATACAGAGTAGCTGGGTGACTGGAAAGGTAAGGAAATGGCATTATTTACTGGGGAAAAATGTCTTTTCCCTGATTTTTCTCAGGATTTTCAGAAATATTAATATGAATTATAACCACATTTAAGGATTTCTAATAAGGTAAACTTTCTGTATCTCAGGTTTAGATATTTTCTTCTGATTAAATGCTCAGAATGAGCAGTTGTCTTAGCAATCTCCACCATTCCTCATTGTTGACAAGCTAACTAAAGTTAGAAACAGCTGCACGAACAATGAAGCAACCATGGCACTCAGTTTTCTTTTAAATTATGATCACAAGTTGTGTGGATATTATATTAGAAGTCAAGTTTTCATATTGGAATATGCAGGTAACATAATTAGGTGTCACTAGGTTTTTCAGTTGCTGAAGGCAGTTCCTGCATATTCTGCCTTCCACTTGTGTAAGCAAAAGTTCTGAATTTGAATTGGGAAAGTCACAAGAGTTTAGATTTAAAATGGATTTCTAGGTGGAACCAAAAGAGGAAAGTCCAAGCAATTGAAGATTTCTGTCAAGGGAGCTCAGATGTCAAAAAGAAGCTGATCCATTTCACATACCCATGGTACCATGATTATTCATTGGGCTATTTACATCATCTTCAGAGGAAGGACTTACATTCTGAGCCAAGCAGAAATAAAATGGCACTCATTATTTATCAGTCTTAAATTTCTTAATCCACAGGAGACTTAAAATTTCATTGTTTAATGAGATACCATCTTGCCCCAGCACTAGTAACAAAATTCAAGACAGAAAACAACAAATGCTGGTTGAGGATGTGGAGAGATTGGGACTTTCATACACTGCTGGTGGGACTGTAAAATGATACAACCACTATGGAAAGCAGTATGGTGATTCCTTAAAAAGTCAGAATTAGAAATACTATTTGACCTAGTAATTCCATTCCTAGGTATATATCCTAAAGAAGTGAGAGGCAGGATAAGAGGAGATATATGCACACCCATGTTCATTGCCGCACTATTTACAATAGCCAAAAGATGGAAACAACCTAGGTGCCCATCAACAGAAAAATGGATAATCAATCTATGGTCCATACACACAATGGAATAGTATGCAACCCTAAAGAATAATGTAGAATCTGCCAAACACCACATAACATGGATGAGTTTGGAGGACATTATGCTCAGTGAAATAAGTCAATCACAGAAGGACAAATATTATATTAGTCCATTATTGTAAAAAGTCAAAGGAAGGTTTATATATGGAAGGAAATTTTCTTTGTTGGTTACCAGGGGTGGGAGAGGAAGGGAGGGAACACTGTTAGATAGGTAGAGACAAGTATTGATTTGGGTGGAGAGAAGGACAGTGAGTGATCAACACAGTGGCACTGAGGAAGAGGAAGACATAGAGAGGTGCATGGGAGGTACAGGCAACAAAGATGAACCCTTTTGCACATACAGTACTGCATTGTTTGTGATGGCAAACATTGATCTACGGTGGATAGATGGGTGGACAGGCTGAATGATTAGGTATGTCTGTGCAAGGCAGAGTGTGCCCATGACCATGTATAGGGTTGGCAGACAATGTTTCTACAAATGTATTTATATGTTGTGTAAGAATTTCTAGGTATATAATAGAGCTGACAAGGGAAAAGATTGTAGTCACTTCTTGGCCACAGCCAGCTATCCAGATGGAACAAGTAGTTGGGCCTGTGGGCTCAGGACCATGGCCTCAGAGAATATTAAGGTCAAATGGCATAGCATGCTACACAAAAACATTGTTCCACATCCTACTTTGGTGAGTTGCAACTGGGATCTTAAAAGCTTGCAAGCAACCATCTAGATGCAATGATGGATCTCTCCTCATCCAGAGCAAAGAAGAATGAAGAAAACCAAAGACTCATGGAAATGATTAGTCCAAGCAACTGGTACACCATGCTTAACTGTTATAACATCCTCAGCCTATATGACTATGAGACCAGAAGAACTAGATGGTGCCCAGCTACCACTGTCAACCACTCAGAGGGGGTTCTATGTAGGAGATCCTAGATAAAGTAGGATAATAATGTGGAACAGAACTCAGAATCATGAAAAAAAAAAAAAAGGAACCAAGTTTGCTGGTCTGATGGAGCATGGTGGGACCCCTGAGACTATGGCCCGCTAGCTTCCCTTCAGGTCTGGAATTGAACCCACTCCTGTGGCTTCCAGTCAAACAAAACATAGGCATATGAGCTGAACATTTACATTAGGTAGATATACTCCTTGGGGAGACCAATCATGGGAGAATAGAAGGGATGTGTATGCACAGGGAGACAGCTCAGGGGGTAGAAGTGCATGGGAGGGAAGGACACAGGGAAGAGATGGCTGTGGGGAGAAAGTGGGAGGAGAGCTGTTGCATTTTTGGGAGATTACAGTCAATGTCATGAGACAAAGTGTATGTGAACTGCCATATGGATGAATTCGTTCTATAAACTTTCACCCAAATCACAATAAAAATTTTTTTTTTAAATTTCATTGTTTAGAATTGATATTAAGGAACATCATATAGTTTCTTCACTCATCACAAAGTTTTCACGTAGTTCATAGCTCTATAGGTATGTGAAATTGATTTTTCCTATATAAACATGCAGATGTAAAGATTATCAGGTGTTGGTAGATCCTCTTTACTGCTCTAGACTAGAAGTTATGATATATGTCATTCCAGCAGGAAAAAAAGAATATAAATTTTATTTTCCAATAGATAAATGTTAATGACAGGACATGCTTTTCAAATAATTTCTGGTTTCTTCAGATATGGTAGTTATCACACCTATATTTTGGATATTGGCTTTGTGGGGATAAAGCTCCTGCCAGGATTTTATGTGAATAACTAAGGGTGTAGTCCCTTTATCTTTCTCCTCCTGAATGTCAGTGATTCATCACAATGTTTTATGTGGTCTCTGTGCTTGGTTTAGTTTTTAACTTAAAATTGACATTCAACAATTTAATTTACCATATACAATCAACAGCACTGATTAAGTGTGGGTGTGTCGGGTGCAAAAAATTGAATCAGCATAATAATTTCAAAATATGCTAGGGCTTTACAGATAATCTTCTCTAAGATGTGTTAAAGATAAGATCAAGGTCTGTTTTTACAATATGCAGAATTTGAAATAAGCATTTTGAGAAAGCATTTTCTAGGGCAGATAGGTTTTCTGGATTAGAAATCTAAAATCCAGCATGTGCACAGTCTTTGTTCCCTTCCAAGTAATTTGTTTGCTGTCATTTAAAAGAATTTTTAATATGTTTTTCTGACTTTCTTTATCATAGCTCATATTTATGATTCATGACATTGTTCACTCTTACTACTAAATGTCTCCATATGGGAAGGTTTATGTTTTTACTTTTCTTTGCTGATAATATAAAAAAGAGAATTGCTTATGCTTCTTGAATATAGAGAAAGGCACAGAAGGGTTATGTTTAATGGAATAAGACTGCTTAAAATTTTGGTGTACTGGTAAAATTGAACTGTTTTTAAGAATGTCATGATCTGTACCCTATTCTCAATGCACAGCCATAAACTGTTTATACACAAGTTAGAATTGCCATCATCAAAGGCAACTCTCACTTGACTTTTTTTTTTTAATTTTGAAGGACCTTCTGGAAAACGTTCAGTAAAAAAAATTGTGGAAGGAATTGGGCAAATAAAGTTCTGTTCCTCTACTAAATCTTAAAATGGGTCTTTCCTTTCAATATATAATAATGTCCTCATAATTAATTAATATATAATAGTCACCAACAACACTTCACTGACATCTGTCACCTGAAAATTTCTTGAATGCCTTAATGAATTTATACTTGATCCTGTAAGAGAGTGCTGGGAGGTGGAGTGTCTAGGACAAAATGTCCCTTATACGTTAGCACACTGACAACAGAAGGAATGGGAAAAATGCTATCAAACAAATACAAGTAAAACAGTTGTTAAAAGTCTATGAAAGACTATGAAAGTAAAAAACTTTCTTACCTAGAGGGTAGAGTAATATTCTATATCTGTAATTCTAATTATAAATTATAAATCAAAAAGTATTAAGAACATTACTTATGGTTCAGAAATATATTTAGGTTCACATTATGTGTGCACTTAGCAGACCTGTTTTCTATTGAAAATCACCCTGAATACATTTTGAAGATTATGAATATTTTGAAGTATATTTTAATTTATTACAAGTGAATATCAGTGCTCTCATTTTCAGGAAATCACCTCTTTCTTTTTATTGAACTGCAGTTCAAAGAGTCATTCAAAGATATCAAAAAGAAATTCAACAATTTGAAGTTTAATTACACTAAGAAAAATGAAAAAGCACGGACTCTGAAGGCTCTTAAATATCAAATTCAACAAGTTGATATGTATGCTGAAAAAATGCAGGTAACGTGAAGATTAATCATGTGTGTGTATGTTGCTCCAGTTAGTGCAAAAAAATTTTATATCTCAATTCTAGATTGTTTTGTTTTTTGACAGTGTGGGAACTAAAAGGGTTAATTTCATATTTTATAATAATTACAATCTTCATGTAAAATACGTAAAATGATTTTTCCTTTGAGGGAGCTCCAGAGTGGTTTCTGGTTTTTTCCAAACCTACCCAGCCTTCTCTTCTTCCATTCTTTCCTCCAACACACACATACACACCCCTTTTGTACACTCCTCTTCCTCTCCTTGCATCTGCCCATGTAGGAGCATAATCTCTTTTGATGACTAGGTTATTTGAATGCCTTTACCAGGTGATAACGAGCTTATTGGAATAAGTATTTGATTTCATGATCATTATCATTTTTTGTTTTTTGGTCATATTATCACTCTCAAAACCTGGAATAGACCTGGGTATATAGTAAAATTTCTATATGTATGATAGATGCTGAATCAATAAAACATCATAAAGAAAAGCCAATCTTTCTAAAATAAATTTTTAATAATTATAATCTTAACATATGAGAATGGAGAAAGCTACGCAGGTTTTTTTTTCTCTCAATATGATCACTGTAGTGTAATAAATAAAATTGGAATGTTATTTAAAAACCTTTCATTGCACAGGCTTTGAAAAGGAAAATGACAAAAGTTGAGAACAGAGTCTCTGATTCTTTCTTAAAAAATCCAAATAATAAAGTTAATGTCCTTTTGGAGGCCATAAAGGATGTGCAAAAACATGTGGATGAGTTTGACAAAGTTGTGACAGATTACAAGAAGAACTTGGACCTGACAGAGCATTTGCAGGAGATGATAGAAGAGGTATTAACCAATTGCTGATCTTTATATGCCAAAATTGAGAACTTAAGATGGGAGGGAAGTTGACTTTCATTCTGTGGGCAAATGGCACTTGCAGCAGAATACAATTCTATAATAGGGTGCCCTATGTGGCTCTGCTTCAATGCTGTAGATTGACTCAGAGTCTATGAAAATTCTTAAAATAAACCATCCTATTCCACATTCACATATCAACCAACTCAGAGGAATTGTGGAATGAGTTTTTATCCATAGACTGTGTGTCATTTTTCTTTTCTGAATGAAATAATCACACCTGTTTGTTAGAAATTTGAAGGAACAATTCATAAAATACCTTGTATTTGTATAAATTTTGTATAATTGTATAAATTTGTATAATTCTTTGGTCTCTTCTGTGATATTTTACATTCCCCCAAACTTCTAAGATAACTGGTGTAGATGCTATTATTCCTGTTTTCCATATGAAGAAATTAATCTCCAGAGTGATTATTGATCCGTTCCACAATTGTGAAAATGGTAGGCTTACTACACATTGACTAAATAAGTACTTTCTCTCTGTGGATTGTATTGAATAGTTTTCAAGTTAACAAGTCTGAATCTGGTCATTCTTTACTCCCCAAAATGGATTGTGATGATATCGTCATAACTTTCAGCGATTACAGACAATAAGATTGCACAAAAATCTTTCACAACTTATTTTAACCATATGACTTTCATCTCTTTCCCAGTAAATCTGGAGAATAACATCTCTCAACTTGCTGTTTGTCAGGATTTCTAGACCTTTGATTAGCCCAGACAATTTTATCAGAATAACTAGTGATTTTATGTGTCTTCGGTTTAAATATCTATAGATACTTGATATGAAATGACACATTGAGAATAAACTGATTTTAAAAAAGAAAATGTCACTGAGATGATTCTGACTCATAGTGATCCCACAGGACAGAGCAGAGCTGCCCACAGGGCTACCAAGGTTGTAAATCTTTATGGAAGCAGACTGCCTCATTGTTCTCCTGTGTAGCGGCTGGTGGGTTCAAACCTCTATGGTTAGCAGCCAGATACTATAACCACTGTGACACCAGAGCTCCTTAATAAACTGATAGAATCCAAAACAAACCTTGTAAAATACCAAGATTTTAAAAACATAGATGTCTAAAATCTAAAAATGTTTAATATACTGATATGCAAGAAGGAGAAAATAAATGCTACCCATTAACTCACTGGGCGATCTACTTCCATAAAGATTTACCACCTCGGAAACCCAAAGGGGGTCGCTAAGAGTTGGAATTGATTTGATGGCAGTGAGTTTGGTTTTTGGTTTAACTCACCTCTAGACATCACCATTCATATTTTAAAGAACGTTTTTCCAGGAAAATACATATTTGTTGATAAAATGAAATAATACTATATATACTGTTTTATCTTTCACTGTAATTAAATATTCTCCATGACATAATTTTAATGATTTATTATCATTTAACCATTTCTAATGTTGTTTTAAAAAGTTATTTTGCTACTTTAAAGCAATGCTGCATCAGCTATTATTGTCATTAAATCCATGTATCTTGCCCCTTTTCATTTCTACTTCCTGAGGATAATTTCCTAAACTAGAGCTAGGGTATAAAGAGGATGAATGCTTCGGATATTTTATTGTACTGTCAGATGCTCTTTAGAACAGTTTCACTAATTTACTTTTACTAACAAAAAAATGAAAGTTCCCATTTCTCCATAACACAACATACATCAACACAAGATGTTTAACTATCATAGAATTATGTCCACTATTCCATAGGCAGGATATCAACTTAAAATATTCAGAATAGCTGATTTATTTCATAAAATTTGTAAAAACCCAAAACTAAACCAAACTCACTGCTGTCGAGTCATATATGACTCATAACAACCCCTTCCTTGGGTTTCCAAGGTGGTATCATTATGGAAGTAGATTGCCCAACCTTCCTTCTGAGGAGTCTCTGGTGAGTTTGAACCATCAGACTTCTGGTTAGCAATCAAATGCCTTAAGCAGTATGCCACCAGAGAAAAAAAAGTATTAATCATGATTATCAGCTACAAAAATAGTTATTGGTGTTATTTTTTGAGAGTACAAATAGTAAAGTTTAAACTAATATGAATATATAGCTTGAGAAAATTAAAATTTGATGCTTCAGAGCTCAAAATTAATAACTTTAGTAGGATTGTCTTCTTTAATTTATGCTTTGTCCTGTTTTAACTTAGTGTTACTTTTGGTATGAAGATGCAAGTGCCACTATCATCAGAGTTGGAAAATATTCTACAGAGTGTAAGACAAAAGAAGCTGTGGAAATTCTGCACCAGCAGTTTAATAAATTTATCATACCCTCTGTGCCTCAGCAAGAAGAAAGGATTCAGGAGATCACTGACCTTGCTCAGCGCTTATATGGTGAGATCCCTTTTAAGATATCCAATGATTTGCTACTGAGCAAATCATACAGAACCTAATCCAGCAGAAAGTGAGAACACTGCAAACCTTCAGGCTCCTCAGTACACTGACCTGATCAAGGAAAAGGCTTAAGATAAAGCAAAAGTAAAGAATGGGAAGTAGAGGGTGGAACTTCTGACAGCAATGGCAGAAACCTGCTGATTCTTAACAACTTTGTGTAAGCATTCCTTCACTATTCTCTTTTCTTCCCAATCTCTGTTGATCATCTCCTGGGCTATAAAACCAGAACGTCTAATGTAGCCAAAAATTATCTGATTTCCACTGGAATGGTTATTTGAAAAATATACAGAATGCCTGTAGTACTTTAGGCATAGTGTTAAGCCTGGAGCACACAGCTCTCTCATTTCTGTGAAGGCTAATCTTTATGGATTAAAAGGAGGAGGCGAGAAAGTCTCCGTTGCCTTCCCCTCACTTGTGGAGTAAGTGTGAAGACTCAAATGATCATGTCACAAATTCTGCTTTCCTCTGCTCCATGACTAAAAGATAATACAATTCTCGCCTGAGAAATCCTTCTTTTTTTTTTTTTTTTCCCCTGGGTTGAGTGGTCTGCTTGTACATCTTGTTAACTACTGGGCTGAGACCTTGCCCCTGGGGGTGAGTTTTATTCCAGGCGCCGAATGTATTTCAAGGCCATAGTATTGGAAGTCTCACCAGATTTCATCTGACCAGTAATTCTGGTCATTATTGAGTTTTTGGATTTGTTCTACATTTTCCCTCTCACTCTATCCAGGATCTCCAGATTTGATCCTTTCCTGAGTGGTTGGCGTTGGTAGCCGGGCACCATTCAGTTCTTCTGGTCTCAAGGGCCATTGTGTCCTAGGGCTGATTGCTTCTAAATGCCCCTTTGTGTGTGTTCTTCTTCACTTCCGATGCTAAGAGACCATTAGCTGCATCTTAGATGGCTGCTTAAAAGCTTTTAAGACCCCAGTCACTACTCACCAATGTAGGATGTGGAGCAATGCTTTTATGTATTTTGTTGTGCCAATTGAGTGTGGTGTACCCCAGTACTATGATCCTGAGGTAGTAGCTGTATTGGATCTCTCTCTCATAGTGTTGGGATGTCTGTGTGGGATTACTCTGTGTCTGTCTTCTATTCTTTCTGTAAGGACAGCGGTATTTTGTATCACTGGTGTCTGTACAAGATTAGGCTCAGCTGAGTCTATCCATGGTCTAGAGTATACCTCTATTCACTGACCCCCATCTGATCATCTCAGATGTTTTTGTGTTTATCTGTATAGCCTACTATTTGGTGTTAATAGCAATGTGGTATTGTGGAGACATTGGTTGGTTTTAGCATCTGTCGTCTATCTCTTATATGCACAATTCAGTGTCCTCTCATTTCCCAGTGTTATCATGGTGGTCATATATCCTTCCCGTATATCCCTCCCCCTACCCATGTCAGCGTGTAAGCCCCAACTAGCCCAAAATTAATCCCTCCCCTTCCCTCTCCATCCCGGTAACCTACTAGGTGAGTTCCCTTTCCCAAGCAAACCCTTCTCTGTCTTTAAGAAGTCCTTCTTAAAGAAGGAGGCAGCCATTTGAGAAATTCCCCTAAGTGAAGGTAGTTCTTGAGGGCTCTGAGGAGTAAGTTTTGTGAATTCCCGGATATCTTTCCTATGAGACCAGGGGTAATGCCCAGTGAGCAAGCAAATCTAGCCCAGGGAGACAATAGCAATAGGTGGTACAAAAAGCTTCATATGGCTGTCCACAGCTGCTGTCAGCTTGATGTTTTCTCTTGTAACATGAATCACTATTCATGGATACCCATAAAATTTCATAGAACTATATATACTGTACTGCTAATATTAAATTATTGAGAATGAATTATTCATGATTTTCTAAAGGAAAAAGAAACATAAAAATGATAAAATATAGATTGAAAAATTGATGAAAACTAATGTTACATGTCCTTTTTACTTTAGTTACTATTCCAGTACACTAAAAAGTTTTGGAAACACTCTAGTCCCATAGCATTGTGTATTTCCATCTATTATTATACTTTTCAAACTTTTTGTCCTTTCTACTGACCATATAAGTTATCACTGTGTCTCAGTGTCTGTTCAGTTCTAGCACATGGTAAATACTCACATAGAGCCATAAAAGTTACATTCCCTCTCATCCCGAACCATCCCATGTTCTTATTTTGTCTGTCTTCCTGATCCTTGTCACCAACTGATATACAATTATTTGTCTGCTGTCTTTTCTTACCAGAGTGTAAGCTCCATAAGACAAGAGATTTTGCCTGTTAGTTTATTGCCTCGTGGCACATACTAAATGCTTAACAGGTACTTGATGAATAAATGAGTCATTGAATTAATAATGAATGAGTAAATGAATGGTCTGAGTCTTCATCTATTCAGTATAGAAGCTATGCATTTTTTAAAATTTAATCAAATAAGGTACATTAGTGATATTGTATCAACTCTTGCAGGCCATTGAAGCTTTATTAAATCACAAATTTTAATAAAAATAAATTTACCTAAAAAAAAAAAAAAAAACCCTGAGTACTTACTAAATACTAAGAGTTGTAGTTGGTGCAAAGTAAATAAGACCTACTCACTGCCGTTGAGTCGGATCCAACTCAAAGCGACCCATCCTTGTGTTTCTGAGGCTGTATCACTAGAGAAGTAGATTGCCCAACCTTCTTTCCAAGGAGTGGCTAGTGGGTTTGAACCGCCAGCCTTCCGGTTAGCAGTCAAATGCCTCAGGGACTATGCCACCAGAGCTCCCAAATAAGACCTAGTTCTTGCTTTCAAGAAATCGGAGCCTAGGCTTAGAGGTCATGATATTTAGAATAAAGTGTGAACGGTATAAAATGTGTATGTAATACAGCTCAACCTAGGTTGTGGAGTCAGGCAGTCCTGGGTTCAAATCCCTACTCCTCCATTGTTGGGTTCAAACCCTTACTCAGTACATTAACTTATTTTGAGCCTCAAGTTTCTCATTTGTAAAATGTGGATATAATAGAACGTATAGGAGATTAACGATACATAATGTTACAAAGTGTTGAGCTGCAGGCAAATAGCACTACTCAATGCATGGCAGTTATTTTTTTGTTATTATTCTAACAGTGAGTGATTAAAAAAGAAAATTGGGAGAGATTAAGAACATTTTCACAGAGGTGTTGGTGTAGGAGGTAGATCTTGACGGGCAGAAGGATTTTGACAGCAGAAATATGTAGTGGGAGGGCATTGCAGTGTAGCGAAAATACTCATGGCTGAAGAGATTTTGAGAGAAGTTACTGGTTTAGTCTGACCAGAAACATAATACATGAGGATATTAGGTTGAAGCCATATTATGGAGGTGCTTGAATGCCATCATGAGGAATTCATACTTTTCCAGACAGTGGAGAACCACTGAATGTTCGAAAAAATAGAGAACTTGATTCAAATTGAGAGATAAGAATATTAATACGGCAATGCTATGTAGGTTCCATAACAGGGGCATGGTGCAGGAAATGTAACCACTTTTTCAGAATACCTGGCTTAAAAAAAAAAAAAAAAAAGTATTACTTTATTTGCATGTTCAGCAAGTGTTTATTAAACATTTAGCATCCACCAACCCTTACACTAGACATGGGACATGAATTAATGCCTGGATCTTTAAAATTTCTGTTAAAGATTTGACCTTTTAAAAATAGCTTCATCCCCCCTCCTCTAGGTTTGGAAGAAGGGAAGAAATACGCTGAGAAAATAGTGGCAAAACACAAAGAGGTTCTTGAATCTGTTACTGAATTATGTGCATCTCTCACAGAGCTTGAAGAAAAACTGAAGGTAATTTCTCCTTCACAGGATATGTATTTTGAGGAATATAATTAAAAATATGTTGATCATGTGTCTTCTAGTGCACAGATGTCCTAATAGACATTCTCGCGGTACATAATGTGCACATTTGTTTCACATTTTCCTGACATAATTATCTGGGTGTTTCTGATAATTAATTCTGTTGGTTTTCTATCACTGCAAAGAAAAATATTGCTGGGAATGAGGGCTAAACACAATTAAGGTGTCTCATTTCATGGATCATGTCCTAAAGAATAAATGTGTGTCATTAAACCCTAAGTCAAGTCTATTTAAGTAGCCTTATGTTTCTGTTTGCAAATGATAAACGTAAGGGGGTTCTTATTGTTTCCTCCAAATTGTGGCCCCAGAGAGAATAAAACTAATCTTCAGATAGTATATTCATTGAACATTTAGCCTCATGGAAATATAAACTAATCATTAGTTTCTTGATTGAACAAAAAATTGATGGTAAAAATATAGAGAAACCATGCTTATATCTATGTCTAGGGAACAACCAGTTTAAAAAGAGAACTACAATAATATTTTGTCTGTGTCATGTCAAAAAAATGGTTTCATTAATGCTGTTTTTACAACTGTCTGTAAGAATTGATTAGGATGAAGAAAGTAGAAAGGTAAGTAAGAACACAGCCTCTAGAGGAAGACACAGCTACCTGGAGATACCAACTTCCCAAATGGTGACTTTGGGTAAATTGATTACTCTCCTAGACTCAGCTTCTTGATCTATAAAATGGAAGATAGCGGAACATAACCATAGGTAGCCTCAAGGTGAATATAATGATGATGACACCATGATTATTGTTGTTGTTACTGAGAAAAAATGGGGTCTTTGCAATTCAAAACAGAATTCCATTTACTTCTGCCATCCTTCTTTTCGCATTTTAAATAACACCGCAATGAACATCTTTGTGCATACAGCTTTTTCTTTTTTTTTCATGATTTCCTGTGGATAAATTCTCCAAAGTGCATTAGGCTAAAATGGTATGAAATTGCTCATGTTTCTAACATATTTGTTCAATTACTGTATGAATGCACCATATATCTCATATTATTTTTTTCAACATTTATCATTTTCTCCCCGCCTCTACCTACCTCCTAAGAACCTGTTTGTTCTGCTGATATCCATACTGAAAAATCACTGCTGCTTCTGACTCTTTGCTCTCCCTTGTCTATAACATCCCTCCTATTTACACTGTATATCTTTAAGTAAGGAGCTCTGGTAGCATAGTGCCTAAGGCACTTGACTGCTAACCAGAAGGCTGGCGGTTCAAACCCACCAGCCACTCCTCGGAAGGAAGGTTGGGCAATCCTACTTCCGTAGTGATACTGCCTCGGAAACCCATGGAGGGGTCGCTATGAGTCGGGGCCGACTCGACGGCATATAACAACAACAACAACAACATCTTTAAGTAGGACCCAATTCAATAAAATCTACTCTCTGCAACCATATCCCTTCTCCCCTTCATGGCTACTCTTTCTGAAAGAGTTGCCTCCACTCTCTCTCCTCAATTCCTATTTCCTCCTCATTCTAAATTCCCAATAATTAGAATTCTGCCCTCTCCTCTTATTCTCAGTCCACCACTTCAGTTATCTTTTGCAACACTCAAGATCCTCTTATTTATACATTCATTTTTACATTCAAAACACTTCACTAAAAACTCTTCATTGCTTACCAGATAAAGTTCAGATTTGAAGCCGTTTAATAATCTCAGGTTAATTTGATCCCTTCCCAATCCCCTCTGCTTCCACATTCTTTGTAGGCTGCTGTCTAACTGGTCTGTTAGTCCTTCCCTGTATTCCCTACTTCTAAATCTTTACTTGAGTACGTGACTTGCTATGTCTGCTTATCAAAATCTTACTGTCTTTCAAAATCAAATCGAAATACCACTTCCTCCATAAATCCTCCCTCAATTATAGCACTCCCTCTATGGTCTCCCAGCATAACATATTGTGTTCTTTCTTACCATGATCATCACATATTAACTTTTGTTACCATCCCAACCATGCTACTTGATTAAACTTGAGGCAGTACTCTGATCTGTTCCATTTAGAGTCCTCCACGACACTTAATACCATGCTTTGCCTAAAGATCATCCTCCAGAAATGTTTTGGCATTTGTAGTAAATACCCAAAGGATTGGTACAGAGCATTGTTTCCAGTAACTAAAGAATGTTTGATTTCAGTGAGTATAGATGTGAGAAAGGCTGCTCTGGTAAAAGAAACAAACATGAGCATTGCCCTTAAGGATTACAGCCAGAATAAAAAACTTGTCAAAGGATGCTTTTAGACCATACTTTACACATGTTTGCATGCAAAGCATAAATGTGTGACCTTTGTATTTTTAAGTTGATGCTATGCTATCTTTTGCAGGAATTATTAAAAAGTAGAACCAGGGCAAAGTTATGGTAAATTGTTGCTGTAGTTAGATGCCATTGAGTCGGCTCCGACTCATAGCAACCCTATGTACAACAAAACAAAACACTACCCGATCATGCACCGGCCTCACAATCCTTGCTGTATATGAGCCCACCATTGCAACCACTGTGTTAATCCATCTCATTGAGGCCTTCCCCTTTTTCGCTGACCCTACACTTTACCAAGCACGATATCCTTCTCCAGGAAATGGTCCCTTTTGACAACATGACCAAAGTAGATGAAATGAAGTCTGGCCATTCTAGCTTCCAAGGAGCATTCTGGCTGCACATCTTCCAAGGCAGATTTGTTAGTTCTTCTGTCAGTACGTGGTACTTTCCATATTCTTCACCAACACCACAACTCAAAAGCATCAACTCTCCTTTGGTCTTCCTTATTCATTGTCCACATGCATATGAGGTGATTGAAAACACCATGGTTTGGGTTAAGCACACCTTAGTTTTCAAAAAGACATCTTTGCTCTTCAGCTCTTTAAAGAGGTCTTTTGCAGCAGATTTGGCCTGTGCACTACGTCATCTGATTTCTTGACTACTGCATCCATTGGTGTTGATTGTGGAACCAAGTAATATGAAATCTTTGACAACTTCAATCTTTTCTCCATTCATTATGATGCCCCTTACTGGTCCATTTGTGAGGGTTTTCCTTTTCTTTATGTTGAGGTGTAATCCATACTGTAGTCTTTAATCTTCACCAGTAAGTGCTTCACATCATCTTCACTTTCAGCAAGCAAGGTTGTGTTGTCTTTATACCACAAGTTTCATTAATGAATCTTCCTCCAATCCTGATGCCACCTTCTTCTTCATATAGTCCAGCTTCTCAGATTATTTACTCAGTATACAGATTGTATAACTATGGTGAAAAGATAAAACGCTGATGCACTCCCTTCTTGATTTTAAACCATGCTGTGTCCCTTTGTTCTGTTTGAACTACAGCTTTCTGGTCTATGTACAGGTTCCTCATAAGCACAATTAAGTTTTCTGGAATTCTCATACTTCTCAATGTTATCCATAATTTGTTATGATCCCCACAATCGAATGCCTTTGCATAGTCAATAAAACACAAGTAAACATCTTTCTGGTATTTTTTGCTTTCAGCCAAGATCCATCTGTCATCAGCAATGATATCCCTTATTCCATGTCTTCTTCTGAATCCAGCTTGCATTTCTGGAAGTTCCCTGTCAATATACTGCTACAACTGTTTTTTAATTATCGCCAACAAAAATTTACTTGCATTTGATATTAATGATATTGTTCAATAATTTCCACATTTTATGTGATCATCCTTCTTTGGAATGGGTACAAATATGGATCTTTTCCAGTCAGTGGGCCAGGTAGCTGTCTCCCTAATTTCTTGGCATAGACAAGTAAATGCCTGCAGTGCAGCATCTGTTTCTTGAAACGTCTCAATGGGCATTCCATGTATTCCTGAAGCCTTGTTTTTTGCCAATTCCTTCCGTGTGGCTTCTACTTCGTCCTTCAGTACCATTGGTTCTTCATCATATGCCATTTCCTGAAATGCATGAACATTGACCAATTCTTTTTGGTACAGTGACTCTGTTTATTCCTTCCATCTTCTTTTGATGTTTCCTGCATCATTCATTATTTTGCCCATAAAGTCTTTCAGTATTGCAACTCGAGGCTTAAATCTTTCCCTTAGTTCTTTCAGCTTGAGAAATGCCAAGTGTGTTCTTCCCTTCTGGTTTTCTAACTCCAAGTCTTTGCACATTTCGTTACAATAAATGACTTTGTCTTCTTGAGCTCCTCTTTTGAAATCTCTGTTCAGTTCTTTTATCTTGCCCATTTGCGTTAGCTACTCTCTATTCAAGGGCAAATTTCAGTCTCTTCTGACATCCATTTTGGTCTTTTCTTCCTTTCCTGTCTTTTTAATGACCTTTTGCTTTCTTCATATGTGATGTTCTTGGTGTCATCCCACAATTCGTCTGGTTTTTGGTCATTGGTGTTCAGTGTGTCAAATCTGTTCTTCAGATGGTCTCTAAATTCAGGTGGGATATAATCAAGGTCATATTTTGGTTCTCATGAACTTGTTTTAATTGTCTTCAACTTCAACTTGTACTTACTTATTAGTTGATGGTCTTTTCCACAATCAGCTCCTGGCTTTGTTTTGGCTGAAGACACTGAGCTTCTCCGTTGCCTCTTGTCACAGAAGTAGTCAGTCTGATTCCTATGTATTCCATTTGGTGAAGTCCACGTGGTTAGCTGTATATAACTCCTTAGCCACAGCCAAACACCTTGAGGGAGTGAGTTACTGGGCTCATGGGTTCAGAACCATGGTCGTGGGGGGACATCAAGCTCAATTGGTATAACATACTACGCAAAATCATTGTTCTACATCCTACATTGGTAAATAGTGGCTGGGATCTTAAAAGCTTTTGAGTGGCCATTTAAGATGCAGTAATTGGTATCTCCTTGCCTGGGGAAAAGAAGAATGAAGAAAATCAAAGACACATGGAAGCAATTACCAAGGGACTGATGGTCCATGGAAACCTCAGGCTAGGTACCTACATGTTGCAAGGCTACCACTGCTAACCCCTCAAAACAGAATCAAAATAGAAGATCCTGGATAGAGTAGGAGGAAAATGTGAAACAAAACTCAAAATCATGAAAAAGACCAGACTTACTGGTCTGATAGAGACTGATGAAACCCCTGAGCCTATGGCCCGTAGTCACCCTTTGGGTCTACAATTGAACTAATTTCCTTGGCTTCCAGCCAAACAATAAACATGTCTACAAGGTGAACATTTACACCAGGTTGACTCCTTAGTCTACCATGGGAGATAAGAAGACAGCATTTGCACAGGGAGATAGGTCAGTGGGCAGGAATGTGTAGGAAAGGTGGACACAGAGAAAAGGTAACCCAGGGAGACAGTGGGAAGAAAGCTATTACATTATGGGGATTGCAATCAATGTCATGAAACAAAATGTGTATGAATTGTTGAATGGAAAACAAATTTACTCTAAACTTTCACCCACATGACAATTAAAAAAACATATATATATATATATGCCTAGAAATCTCTGTTAAGGCTGAAATTATGCTAATACTCCTTTCCATTTGTATAGCAATTTGAGGTTAACAAAAGACTTTCACATATATTTTCTTTGTGACCTTCCAAATAACCTGCAGATGGAGATAAGACACATGTTGTTTTCTTTGTTTTAAAGGAGAAGGAATAAGCTCTAAGCAGGTAAAATGCTTGTGAGCTTAGATCTTCTAATTCAAAATCTAATGTTTATTTCCACAACGGCTGCCATTTTGGAATTATATATTAAATGGTTACTAAAGCAGAATGACTTACCCAGTGAAACAAACCGATTTAGTCTTAGAGATGATACTGAAAGCCAGATCTCCACAGTGAAGTGTCTCCCTCTGTCCTCTGAGCACGTGAACTTTGAGGAGCATGCCCATTTCTTTAAAACCCATCTAGTGACCCAGTAAGGAGCTCTGGTAGCATAGTGCCTAAGGCACTTGACTGCTAATCAGAAGGCTGTGGTTCAAACCCACCAGCCACTCCTCCAGAGGAAAGTTGGGCAATCTACTTCCATAGTGATAGTGCCTCAGAAACCCAAGAAGGGGCTATGAGTCAGATTCGACTCCATGGCATAGTGCTTTTTGCTAGTGCAAGGCATTTGACTGCTGACCAGAAGGCTGTCATTCAAACCCACCAGCCACTCCTTGGAAGGAAGATTGGGTAATCTACTTCCGTAGTGATACCATCTCAGAAACCCAAGGAGGGGTCACCACGAGTCGGGTCCAACTCGAAGGTACATAACGACAACAACAGTGATCCAGTATGTTCCAAATGCAATAGAGAATCTTTTCTTGGGATTTCTCACCACCCTTAACTAGTGTGTTCTGTCACTTGGGGTACCTGTGGGTCTTTCACCTGTAGGAAGTCTGCTGGGGCCTCCCACTGGTTCCCTCTCCATGAGTAAAACTGAAATTAAATGGAGGAGTAAAATGTCACCACCCACATGAAATGTACTTTGTTTTCTTTCTTTATAATAGTGATATTTCCTTTTTCTTTTCAAGAGACTCCCCAACATTTTGCTTGTGTAAATTCTCTGGAGGAGCTTTGGTGGCGTAGTGCCTAAGGCATTTGACTGTTTTCCTGCTCTCTTCTCCATCAGAGACTTTAATCATTTCTACCTCATTGCTGCTCCTCATTCCCTCCTAATGGTTTAAACTCCCATGCACAATGATTCTTTTCTCTAGAGAATGCTCCTGGAATAACGTCCTTTGGTAATCATTACTTTTTTTCCTGCTGGGTCTTTGAACAACCATTTTTTACTGCAATTAATTTTATCAAAGAAGTAGGACAGGAGAGAGGGAACTCTTGAGTGGAGGGATAATTTTACAAATCACATAATGAGAGTGCATCAGCCTCTGGAACCATACATTTACTGAAAGTTTGCAAAGGGTCTACATTTTCTTCTAAGTGGTTATTGTATGGTACTGTTCCTCTATGTTTCTTGGCCCCGACTCTCACTAACCATCTCTGTTTTCAGCAGGGAGGCGTTTTAAAGATAAATCCAAATATGGAAGACTTCCATGATGATTGTATTGACCTACTAAAAGAACCAGCAAAAAAGAAGCAGACAATATTCAATGCACAAAGCTATAAGGTAATGGAAACTACTAAGCCTTCATTATTTATTACTTTTGTTTTGAGGTTAGAATCACAGTGCTCTGTAAAAAAAAAAAAGAAGAAGAAGAAGAAGCCTTCTTATCTGTTTCAATTGAATCTCTCAAAGTACATTCAAGTGAGTTTTTTCATTCCTTATTTCTTGTTTCCTGCTTACCTAGTTCTGCCTCTCTTCTGTGCTATTTCCCTCTCAGTCCCTCATTTAAAAAGCTGGAGCTGGAGCATGTTAGATTAGCATTGGGACAACCATTCAAAGACTACAATGTGACCATACACCATTCTATTTCTTGTATTTCTGACTACCTTTCCATTGTTCTTTACTTTCAAGTGCAGCTTCAAATTTTACTTCTTCTTTATTATAACATCAAGCTATGATTTTTGTTGTTTTATACTACCCACTAGAAAATCTTAGTCCATGAGATTTGATCATATCTTATTCCCACAGAATCTGCCTCCAAGATGGTATTATCAGGCACATATACTAAAATTTAGAAGCTAGCTGAAATATAAATACTAAAATATTTAGAGAAATGTTTAAATTACTTTCAAACCTATGCATTTACAGATAGATTAAAGCATGTAGCAAAAACTGCAAAATATTCACAAAAAGCATATCATGCTTTCAGAAGTATTATTTAAATCACTATCTCATTATGGATTCTCTGGATAAATAGTTCACTTTCTATTCACAGCTGCTGGACTATAATTAGCTCCTTACACTTTGCTATGCCAAGTTGCTTGCTCCCAATATTTCTCTATTGAGGAGATCAAACATTGGGGAAAAGCAGTCAATGTTATTCTCAACTGCCTACAAAATCATAAAATATGCTTGTTGGGGCATTAGAGTTGTTTGTTCTTTAAATCCCATTTGTTGCAGTTAGCCTATGGAAAAAGATTTATAAATACTTGAAGTCAATACATTCCTTAGGACTTCCTTTTCCACAACTGAGGTCTATGTCAAGGTCTACTGTGATTATACAACTATCAAACTACCATTAAACACACCACCCTTTTGTGGTAGAACCTTGAGGCACTTTAACCCTGGTTCTTCTCTAAGGCAAAGGAAAGCTGCCAAAACTTGGTCATCTTGCTTGATTTTAGCTTTATTTGAATTGTCTTCAGTTATTCGGATTTTGTTTAAATCAGGGTTTCCCAGTCTTGGCACTCTTGCGATTTCTTTGTTGTGAGGGAGTATACTGTGCATTGCAGGATGTTTACAGCATCCCTTGCATCTACCAACTAGATGCCAGTAGCACCTCCTCCACCCAAATTATGACTAACAAAAATGTTTCCTGACATGTCAAATGTCCATTGGGGAACAAATTCACCCTTGATTAAGAACCACTCATCAAAATAATAAAGAATAACATTAAATGCACACTACTTTCTTGACTAAGTTTAGAGAATTACTAAATCAAGAATTATATAATTTGTTTAATTTTATTCTGTACAATGTTTTCACTGTGAACCCAGCACATTTACTAAGAAATCAGAAGCAAAAGTTACTACCTACCAAAGCAAACAGAGTAAAAATGGGTTTTCTTGCTTCTATTTATTTTTCTTAGAAATAGAAAAAGATTCATTTAAATAAAAAGGCAAGGTTAATTTTCATTGAAAAATAACTTTTGTTTTAGTATAAATTAAACCACATACTAGCCCATCAGTAATTTAGGATAAAAGTGAAGGTATATAATTATTGCTGTCAAGAACTCTGGTTGACATAATTTCCTGTACATGATCTAGTGCAATTGATGCAGACACTAAAATGAAACAGCGGCTGTAATCTTCACTTTTAAACAGCTCAATCACATTTACCCTCTTAATGTCTCTATTATTTATATTATAGGTCAAATGTAATGATTCCCTGAAAAGCTATGTGGGCTGATAATAGGAAACACCAAAAAGAGCTTGTCAGGGAACCACTGTATTCAGTTCTGATACCCTTAAATGATGTTATTCCTAGGAAAATTATTAGACTCAGAACATTTCCACAAATCTACTACAAAAATGCATTCATCCCGGGAATTTTCTCCTGTAGATAACAGAATGCTTGTCATTTTTCTGACCACAAAAAGCAGTAGTTGGAATTAGGTAATTCAGTAAATGCAATGTATTGCACTGCTAACAGATTAGTGGTGGTGCTTTACTCCCAAGGTGAGCACTGAAGCTAAATTCACAGCAGTATCTGAAAGCTCCTAAGGTTAAATGGAAGCACAGAGTATTAAGACACTTGCCTAAAGTCACAGAACTATTTGGCTGAAGATGAGGGCTTGCAATGCCAGCATTTAGGATGATAGAATTTTAGTGCTAGAAGGGACTTAGAAGTCATCTGATCAAATCTAATTTTACACTTGAGGAAACTGAGGCCAAAAGAGATTAAATATCTTGCCCTCCAAAAATCACAAAAAGTTACTGGCAGAACTAGGCAGCCATCTAATTCTGAATTTCAGGCATGTACTTTTTTTTCCTAGAAGATCCAAAGAGAGCTCCAAGGAAACCATGCATAAAAATAAGCTGTTTTGTAAAGATACTGTAGCTTTCCTTGCCAATCTTCCTTTTCCATTTCATCTATTTAAGTGATAATTAATAAAGCAATAGCATGAAAAGTACTTTTATACCAATTAGTGAAGTATTGTCAGACTAGGTAAGAAGAGTGCCTGTGCCCTCAGCCATTAATCCTGTTCACCTGGCAGGTGAATTCTAGCTTAGGGATGATGTTCTTAAGACATCTGCCTTGGAAAAAATTGGAAAGGGGAAAAAACGTTCTTCTTCACCACTTTCATGGATTGAATTTTGTCCCTGAAAAATAAGTGTAGACTTGGCTAGGTCATGATTCTCAGTGGTCTGGCAGTTATGTAATGATACAATCACCTCCAATAATATGATCTGCTGTGATGAGTCAATTGTAAGAGGATTAGGTTGGGGTCCAAGACACTCAGGTCACGGCCTTGATCTGATGTAAGAAGAATTTCCCCAGGGTGTGGCCTGTACCACTTTTATTTTAGGATACAAAAGAAGTGAGCAGAGAAGGGGGCACCTCACTATCACCAAGAAAGAAGAGCCAAGAGAGAAGCACATCCTTTGGACCCAGGGTCCCTGAGCTGAGAATCTCCTAGACCCAGGGGAAGACTGGTGCCAACACACATGGAATTTCTAAGGGAAGCTAAGCCAACAGATTTGAAAGGAAACAAAGATCTTCGCTGTGAGCTAACAGAGAGAAAGCCTTCTCCTGGATCTGGTGCCCTGAATTTGGGCTTCCAGTCTCTTAAATGGTGAAGGAATAGACATCTTTTTGTTAAAGCCATCCATTTTTGGTATTTCTGTTACAGCAGTACTAGATAACTAGGACAGAAGTTGGTGTTGAAACAGTGGGATGTTCCTCTAACAGATGTCTGAAATGTGAGAGCAGTATTGGATTAGGTAATGAGTAGAAGCTGGAAGAGTTGTAAGGTGCCTAATAGTAAAAGCCTAGATTGCCTTGAAGATACTGTAGAATTATGTACATCAAAGGCAATTCTGGTATGGGCTCAGAAGAAAGTGAAGAGAGTTGTAACCTGGACATGGTACAGATAGCGAGAAGCAGTGGTAGAGAAATGGTGGTACCAGAACCAAGAAACTGGCATGAGATGACATGTGACAGAAGCAAACCTACAGAGCAAGAGAGCTGAGTGCCTTTGGACAGGAGGCTTCCTGGTGGAATGGGGTGTCTCTGAGCACTTGCCAACAGAGGTAGGCTTGCTGGCCCTGGGCATAAGAGAACTGAACACCTTCAGGCCAGGCTTACTGGCAGAGTGGGGTGCCTCTGGGCACTTATTGGTAGACCTAAAGAGCTTTGTAACACTTGCTGGAGCAGCACAGAGGCTGGGCTGGCTCAAGAAGCCCAACAGGCCAAGGGGCCAAGAGGCCAAGAAAACAGGAAGCAGAACCTGAAGAGACAAGGACCAAGGGAAGCATAGCTGCCTCAGTTTCAAAGGGTAAGGCCGTGACTTCTTGGGTCTCAAAGGATGTGACCATGGCCCTGGGGGTTTCAAAGGAGGTGGGCACAGCCTTCTAGGTTTCAAAGAGTCAAATCTTCACCAACTCAGTTCCAGGATGTAGAGCTGCCATTCATGAGTGCTGGGGTAATGGGGCAAGATCTGCTACCCAAAGCTGAGGAGATGGGGCTGCCATGCCTAAGGGGTAGAAGAATGGGGCCAAGAGAGTGGGGTCACCACTTAGTTGAAGTTGGAGAATGGGGCTGTCCAAAGACAAGGAAGCAAAGTTGTCATTCCAGTGGGCTTGGCAGGAGCTGCACCCCAGGGCCAAGGAGCCTCTGCCTAGAATCCAGAGTCTGGAGGGCAAAGCCAACACCCAGAATCTGGAGGGTAGGATCATGCTTAGATAGTATTAGAGAAGAGAGTATTATTTTCAAGTCCTGAGAGTTAATGCTAATTGTTCTGCTGGGTTTTAGACTTGCTTGATACCCATTATCCCTTCTTTCCCTCCAATTTTTCCCATTTGTAATGCGAATGCCTACTTTGTACCTGTTCAACAATGGTGCATTGGAAGCAGATAACATGTATTCTAGATTCACACATGAAGAGGAATTTTGCCCTAGGATGGAATCTGAACTTGGAGTTGATTTAAAACTTTTGGGATGATATGATGGAGTGAAAGTGTTTTGCATGTGGCAAGGATATGGATTTTCGGGGCAAATTATGGAATGTCATGGATTGAATTGTGTCCCCCAAAATATTTGTCAAACTTGACTGGGCCATGATTCTTAGTGGTTTGGTAGCGTTGGGCCCAGGTTATGAAGGAGTTGTTCGTCGCGAGGAATTTGCTAACACACGACAATGCAAAAGCAAAAGGAAAGTTTATTTGCTAGCTCAAGCTAGGGTCCCTGCTCTTGCCAACGTAGTGGCTTAAGCAAAAGACCTCATGCTCCTTTACTATCACACTTTTATAGGAAAATATGGGGTGGAGTAGCACCAGGGCAAA